TTTGAGCTGCCGTGGCAGTGCGAAAATAAGACATTGTGACAGAGTATGAAGAAGTACAAATCGTGAAGGGAATACTGTGGGATTCATCGACAAGAACAAGAGCAAGGAAATAGATTATGCAAATGCTAAGTTTGTAAATTATGATCTCAAAGATGAAAAACGGATGTCACGATTTGATTTAATTTTGATCATTATAATTTCAGGGGCAAAACAAAATACTTTATGGACACAGGGCCGGGTTTAATATGTATTCCATGTAATCAAATTTCGAATAATTACAAACACCACACAATCAAAACAAACCTTTTAATTTTTGGCCCGGGGGCAAGCAAGCTTAAAATGGTTGGACATTTAAACCTAGAATTAAAAAATTGTGATGGAGATAAAATCAGAACGTATATTTTAAAAGGTCTTAAAATCGCACTTTCTGGAAAAAATGAAACTTTTTGATTTAAACATTTGAAGAGGGTCAATCAGGTTCAACAAACATGCCACCTTTTAATTCAGATTCTTGTAAAATACATTTTGAGTTATTTAACGGATTAGGTTAATTGAAAACAAAATTTAAGATAAATATTATGGATAATACAAAATCGTATTCTCAAAATACCCTCGCGTGGTCCCTTTAACTTTGATGGAAATGTGAAGGAAAGAACAGGACAGGTTTGTAGATTTGGATGACGTACAACCTGCAGAGACTTCTACTGATTGTCGTAGTCCTATTGTTTATGTTCCAAAACATTGTCAGACAGGGTTTAGTAGCGATTACTCTGTATTAAACAAAAGTTTGAAGAGCTTTGTGTTCCCTAATCCCAAAGTCGATGTAACCCTTGCCAAAGTAAATAAAAAGTGCACGATTATTTTCAAAACTTTATGGCAATTTGGGATTTTTCCAAATTGAATTAAAGGATGAGAATAAACCCCTAACAACTTTTGTCACTCCTTCTTTTAGATTCATATTTAAGAAACTACCGTTTGGAATAAATTGTTCTCCAGAATATATTTTGCAATATATTGTAAATTGTTTCCATTAATCCCTGGGATAGAAATTCATATTGATAATATTTTGATTTACGCAGAAATTCTGGATTAATTATGACCGAACAATAAAGCAAGTTCTAAAAACTCCGTGAAGAAGGGATTACACTAAATAGAGAAAAGTGTGTATTTAGAATAGATACTATAGAATTTGTAGGTCGCCTAAGTATTAAAAGCGGTGTCAGTATTCTTCCTGATAGAATAAGAGCTATTTGCGAATTTTCTGCACCTAACAAGAAACGAATGTTGCTGCAAGTTCTTGGAATGGTGATCTTTGTTTGCTAAGTTTATTCCTAATAGGTCAATTGTTTTAGAACCTTTGAATGTTTTATATGAGGATGTACAATTTATATGGTTAGACAATCAGAAGTGTTCGAAAAAATCAAATAAATACTGCATAATGCTCCAACGTTAGCTCATTATGGGGTTGAATACTTGGCTGTCCAGGATGAGCCACGTTTCATTCGATCGAGCTGACGTTTCGACTGAGCAGTATAGCTCTGAAGAAGGCAAGAACATGATGTCCGAAACGTCAGCAGAATCGACTGAGACACGGCTCATCCTGGACAGCCAAGTATTCAATGATTCCGGCTACGGAAGCCTTGAAATTAGCTCATTAAGATCATTGTAAGAAAATTATTATTCAAGAGGAAGCTTCAAGTTCTAGTGCTAATGCACGAGAGGAGATAGAGAACTCTCCTGGAAGACCTCTAACTGGAGATAGAGAAGAAGTGGCGCATGTTTCTACAACTTTAACTGACAACGAAAAGAAATTCAGTGAAATAGAGAAGGACGCACTCAGCTTGGCATTTTCTACAGGTAAATTTAAGGACTACATAACGGGATTGTTCAATAGCTATACCATATTTTTTCATAAATGGCAGGGTATGGATCGTATATATGAGTAAATACTGTGAAATAATCCGTGTTAGCGATCACCAAAACTCACATATGGTAATAGTAAGAAACAAATTTTTTCGAAGAAACAGTTGGCGTCTTACACATGCCCCACTTAAAGTTGATACGGCAAAATCTACAAACCACCATCACATGCATTTGGGCTGGCCGGAGAAAGGAAATGTTAACGTATTTCCCATATATGGCAAGAATAATTGCGTCATCACAAATTCAGCCAATCGCAGCGAGGCAATCGTGTAGATGAAGCGCTAAACGGAATAGTCGACCACCGTTTTACCGCACAGAATTCGCTCTCAACGTCGTTTGTTTTCAAAACATCTACTCATGCAATAAAGTTTAACATTATAAACTAGTTGCATAATATAGTATTGGTAGCCTAAGGATTATTAGGAAAATTTTTAAATACTCCATGGAGTCTCTGGGAAGTGTTTAAAGCACATTGGAGGTACACCAATCCATTAATATTAGTTTTTGTGTACGAGCATTATACGCGCTGTAAGGAACAGTTCCGTAAGGTAAGGTTCCGCTCTAAGGAACCGTTCATAAAGGGCATTTTATAGCACTAGTGGCATTTTATGGCACGTCCGTTCATCCCCGCCCGATCTCCCCCCTCGTCCTGCCATCGTCATCCTCGCCCGTCTCCCCAACAGTCCTGCCGTTCTCACCCCTAAGCTCTGCTCTCGTCCACATGGCCTGTTCTCCCTGCCCGCCTCCCTTCCCGTCCTCCTTGACCGTCTCCCTGCGTGACGCCATAATATCATTTTTGACAACTGCAAAACTGTTTTTGAAATTAGTTTCCAAAAATAATGTTGGCTGTCGGTATAAATTTAATATAATGCTGTTATACAAAAAATAGCATTTGCGACTGTTTATAATATTACTTATTGGATTCGTACAAATTTAAAAACTCACTCCTAACGTCACTCATTTTCAAAATGTGTATTTATGCCAAAGAGGATGAGATTATAAACTGAATAATAATATTTTCTGTTGAAACGAAATATCTAAAATGAACAAAAAACACTTTTGTTCATCCAGCAAGTAGAAGAAAGTGGTAAAGTGGAGAAAAAAATAGTATAATCTTTAGTTTTGAATGTTTTGAAGACATTTATTTGCCCAGAAAAATATGAACCCCCAGACCATTTTCACTATCTTACCACTCTACCTCTTTCGTTAAGTTGTTCAGAGGTATGATGTATATGATGGTCTTGTACCATTGAACAAATATTGTTTCACTGAATTTGAAGAAAACTAAAGAGAACTCATTTACTTCACATTAAATCACACATAAAATCTATGAGAGTAAAATGCCTTATCATTTTAATTACAAAACTTCAATCAGTGTCGGCCGGTGTGTTGCGAGTTAGGAAGGGCGGCATATATGTCCCACATGCTATACGTTTTACCTCTTCAAAATATATTTCTTGGACAAGTAAAATTATAGCATGTGGTGTACAACCGATTTGCACGTTTACTTCTTGCCTAAGATAACGTTTACGTAGATAACGGAAGATACAATTGTGCTCATTCGAAAATAAGAATTTTTTTAAAAAATATTTCCAGCAAACAAAATAATAATTTATGAAATGAAATGGACGGTATTCTTAGTTTAGTTAATAGCTCTGCCGAATAAAATCCAAATAGCAGTACGTTATCCCCACCCAACTTCCACTACTCCCACTTTTCCTGAAGCTTTCATTGCCTTGTATGCACCAGCTACGCGGCAGTCCACGATACGATCCATTCCAAAAACATTTACCTTTCGCTTAATCAGGTATGTAAAATTAAATTCGTCCTGAAAAATTGCCCTAGTGGAAAATCATACGAGTCGATTTATTGCAAGTCTAATATTTTCTGCAACTTTTCCCAAGGTTCGTTTTTGTGGGGAGGGCGCCGCCCTAAAATCCTTAAGGAGCAGCCGCCACTGCCTTCAATGTGACTTAACTTAAGAAACTGAAAACAAAATATAATATTTTAATAGCATACATCAATATATTTCACATTATATTTTACACTGCTGTAGAAATTAACTTTAAAGAAGTTGATCGCTCTTTCGTCATGAGAAACAACTTATTTAATTGATTTTGGTAGTAGAACCTTAACTGACAAGTTTCAGATTCATGAACATAAAATGTTTCCTCATTAGCATAAAGATCTGTTTCAGAAAGATGATTCAAATACTTCACTAAATACTCGGAATCTACATTATTAGCATCTATTATTTCTCCTATGTAATGAGAATTGCTTTTCTGCTTCAAAACGATACAATCACAAAGCTTCCAAGTTCTAAATTATTAGTCATGTTTCATCACAATTCCATTGACATCCGTCAAAATATCAGTTCCTAATTCGTCTTTATTGTGTGACCCATTATATCTCCCCAAATTCATTCCTATATGTTGACAAGACCAGTATCTGCTTAAGAAGTTTATACAATAATTCTCAAACATGGTTAAAGCACTTCTTCATTCCATATTGGTGAGCTACACCCACTGGTGGATCCAGGAGGAGGGCCATGGGAGCCATGGCCCTCCCAAAAGGTCTGAAGTTTTTGTTTACCTTCCTTTACTTGGTAAAATGTATGTAAATATTTAATTATGTTAGATTTATGTAATTATTTAAACAATAATATTATATAGTATCATATTTACAGTACATAAATAATAATCAATATAATAACTAATGTGTTTATTATTTAATGAAAATTTATGATCCCCCCCCCCCTCAATGATCGGCTGGATTCCCCTTGGCTACATTTTCAAAGATTCTTTAAAAATGAACTCTGCCATTAAGGCAACCTCCATTTCCTTCTCTAAATAATACATTCCAGTTTATTTTGAATTCACATTTGTAAAGTTATCTTTGGATATGTGAGCATAAAAGTCATTTTAATGACTACATATGTAGTTTTGAGAGTTTGCTTTTAAAAATATGGCATTTCTAAATTAATAGAGTACTGGTCTCATGCAATTGACAGCATGTTTGTATTTATCTCAGATACATATTTTATTTACTTTCTGATAACATTTCAGTTCAACCTTTGGCTTCTTATTAAATAAATTAATTAATATATTGAGTTACATATGAAATTAATATAATCCTCTATGACAAATCAGATTAGCTGTTATAATACTTCTTTATGATCTTAAAATGATAATAGTAGTATTTAAATATAATGATTTTGACAATTTTAGTAATATTAATACATAATGCAACTAACAATCAAGGGAAAAAGATAGGGGGCCACGAGAGGTTGGTTTGAAGCAGAGAATTTTTGGGTGCATTGGTGACATTTGATGGTATAGCGATGGTCAGCATCCTTCTTAAACTAAAGGGCTTTCCTTTTTCGTGTAACACACACCACATTGATTTATTAATAACAAAATAACTGGAGGATACATATATAACACAAATAAATCATAATTATATTAACTGTAGAGATTACTTAACATTACAGGAACTATGTGTGCATGTGTTATAAGTTGTATTCCAATTTATAATGTTAATGAATAACACCTACCACAGTAATATTCGCTTATTTATTGTAAGACCTGACACAATTTCTTTGTCATTAAATTGTCACATTGGCTTTAATATTGAGTGAAGAAATTTGAAGGCAGTACTCTAAATGAGTGTTAGAAAGTCTGTTCCTCAGTTTCGACATCATAATATTAATTCTGAAGAAAACTTCTTCACTCATATATATGTGCTGCCAACAGATGCTATGAACTAAGCATGTGAATGGATTGATCAAAATTTTGTTTTCCTCAATCCTACAGTAGAACTGAAAAATGAGCACATTCTTAAATTTTTCAATATTACATTGCAAATCAATAAGTTCCATTTGCCTGTTGCTGCAAGCATATTAAACAAAATGCAATAGAAGTTTCAGTAGATTTTCATTGTACCTGAAATCCTAAAGCCTTGTGCTGAAGTCAGATCTCAGAATTGAGAGTGCTTCTCTGAATTTCTCATTGTTCTGAACTCCACATTGAAACAATGTTGGGAAATGTGAAAAGTCTTCTTGTGTTACATTGTAGTTAAAATGATGGTGTAAGGAAATCTTTATGCCATGGTTAAAATTAGTATTAGTTCACCAAAAAGGGTCACATGCAACTCCCAAACCATGGGTTGAAAACCACTGGTTTAAAGCAATAGAGGCATCAGATTTCCCATGGTGTTTGTCCCATAGTGTCTCCAACAATATCAATCAGGGACAAAGTGAAGGGAGTGTGTAAATATCCTCATCCCAAAAATGAAAATGGAGGGTACTACAGGATTCCCGGGTTTACCTCAGAGACAGGAGACAGATAGCAGGAATTGGGGGCTGCTCAGAGCGGATCAATAGATAGCAACCTAAAATTAAAAAAGGATTTCATCTTATTATGTTCAAACAATTGAATATTCACATATAAGTAAAGCTAACTCGGGTGGTAAAGTCAGTTGTGGTGAGAATCACACTGCATAAAACTAAAGACTTTGAGTTTGTATTTCCACATTCGTCATGTGGGCAAGTGCAAGTAAATAATCATATGCACCATCTACATAGCATCTATTCACCATCATCAAGCTCATTCATTTCAGTCATCATTCCATCTTTCAGTTCTAGTGATAAAAACATGCACGCACTATTCTTAATTGCAGGGGTCAGGACAGTATAATGATAACCTATATTACACATGCCTTAAAGAAGTATATACACAAACAGAGAAATGTCTCGATTTATACAAAACTTGTTTTTCTTCTGACCTACAAAAATTAGGGTTATTATCATCTTGCTCCAACACTTTCAATAACTATGGCAATGTGTAAATTGCTATGATCAATGAATTACTTCATTCCAAAAAAAAAAAATGAATATATTTATTTGTGCAACGAACAACTTTTACATTTTGTATTTAAAAACAAATATTCTCGAAGATTATTTGTTTCTCTAAATTTACACAAATAAACCTATCAACACAGTTCCTTTATTTTTATTAGGTAATCTTCACCATAGTCATGTCTTTTTCTCAGGACTAGTACATTGATTCCTGGCACTGGTTTCTTCATGCTGACAAAATTAAATGACTGCCTCCTTGTTCTTCAAAATTGTTTGAGGTTCAGGTTCATCTCGAGATTGTCCATAGAGAGGACAAATATTTAAGCCAATGCTTGGTCCAATGGTCATTAACCAACTTACAAGTGGATTCCAACTATAAAAAAAAGATAGTGTTAGTATTTCAGGAAAACCAAGGTACTGTGTAATGATACTGTAAAATACTACAAATATGATTTTATATACGATAACAAATGTATAACAAGTGTGATTTTATGTATTAAGTCCTCAGTTTTAAATTTGGAATCATCAGTAAATTATATAACACAAGGAAGAGGGTGTTTGATGCTGCGTTATGTTGGGGTAGAGTTTCTAAATTCTACGTAAAGTCAATATTTTGTTTTCGAAATTTTTCAACTTTTGCTGATAAAATTCTTTCATTCAATTTAAAACACTAAATATTAAAATATAAATATTTCAAAATTAAAGTTAAAAATGTAAATAAATTTTTAAAATTTTAACATATAAATTGTTTCAATAAATGGAAATAGTTTTTCATCAATGATAATTTGATTGAACCTATTAGATTACAAGAAAATATTCAAAACTATTTATAGTATATTTTAGAAACCAATTAAATAAGCACTGCAGACTACTGTCCATGTGTTATCCATGACAGACTGACTGGCTTGTCACAAACTTTTTTGCCTATGCATCCTTCAATCACTCAAAAATTGTCCCATCTGTGATTGTTGCAGTGCAGCCTGCATCACCAATTAATTATATCATTATTATAAATTTTAATATACAACATAAATAAAATTAATACAAATTGTTTTTACTGTTATGTAATTTACTGTTACTGACTGTAAATTAAGGAGGAGTCTGGAGTCTTGACGTAAGCATTATACAATTATTTAGGGGGGTTCAAGTGTGTGTTACAAGGGGGAAAATGGAAGTATTCAAATTACCCCGAATTTGCATCTTCTAATTTATTGGAATGTAATTCATCTCTTCATTATCATTCACATGCTAGCCTTAGGAAAAATATTTAGAACCACCTGATTTTATGGTAATCATAAAATCTATAGTCTCCTGATTACAGAAAATTAATAAATCAACAACACATTATGGAAGAACACAAATATTACTTTAGTACATAATTTTTAAAACATTTTCCACTTCCTCATTGCCCATAACACTTCTCGATAGTAATTGTTTTCAAAAGCTAACTAATATCTAGTAACTAAACATGTTTGTGAATAAAATCCATTGTATATATAATTTTCTTTCAAAAATATTGTCAATAATCTGATTGTTTCTGAAGAATATTCCAGTCTTCATTCTTCCAATCTTCATTTCTAAAAAATCAATATACTAGACAGAAAGATAGTCCAAAAGAGTTAGCAATAAATAAGTACATTTCTATTAAGTCAACACACTGGTCATCAACGATAAGAGGCATCATCTAGCAAATTGTGTTACCATCAAGCATGACACACAAGCCAAATGTGGTTCACACCTCGCATGGTAAATGATTTTCAATAGCATGGAACAATATTGCAGTTGCATGTTTCATTTATTTAATTCTATTGTTCTTGGATTCTAAAAATTTCATGCCTGAAAATATATCAGATTCAAAAATTTCAGAATATAATTCCTAACCTAGTTCTACTAGTCATATTATTGGTAACAGTAATTACATTATATTACACTGAAGAGCCAAAAAACTGGTACATCTGCCTAATATCGTGTAGGGCCCCAGCGAGCACGCAGAAATGACGCAAAACGATGTGGCATGAACTCGACTTATGTCTGAAGTAATGCTGGAGGTAATTGACACCGTGAACCTTGCAGGGTTGTCCATAAATTCGAAAGAGTACTAGGGCGCGGAGATCTCTTCTGAACAGCACGTTCAAGGCATCTCAGATATACTCAATAATGTTCATGTCTGGGGATTTTGGTGTCCAGTGGAAGTGTTCCTGGAGCCACTCTGTAGCAACTCTGGAGATGTGGGCCGTCGCATTGTACTGCTGGATTTTCCCAAGTCCGTCGGGGTGCACAATGGACATAAGTGGGCGCAGGTGATCAGACCGGATGCTTACGTACGTGTCACCTCTTAGAGTCGTATCTAGACGGATCAGGGGTCCCATATCACTCCAACTGCACACGCCCCATACCATCACAGTCTCCATCAGCTTGAACAGTCCCCTGTTGACATTTAAGGCTCACGGATTAATGAGGATGTCACCATACTCGTATACGTCCATCCGCTCGAAACAACGTGAAACGAGACTCGTCAGATCAGGAAACGTATTTCCAGTCATCAATAATGTCGGTGTTGACGAGCCCCTGCGTGGCGTAAAGCTTTGTGTCGTGCCGTCATCAAGGGTACACGAGTGGGCTTTTGGCTCCAAAACCCCATATCGAGAATGTATCGTTGAATGGTTCGCACGCTGACACTTGTTGATGGCGTAGCATGGAAATCTGCAGCATTTAGCGGAAAGGTTGCACTTGTCACGTGTAACTATTTTTCTGAGTTGTCGTCGTTCCCGTTCTTGCCCGACCTTTTTGTGGCCGCAGCGATGCCGAATGTTGGCTGTTTTACGGGATTCCCGATATTCACAGTACACTTGTGAAATGGTCGTACAGGAAAATCCAAATTTCATCGCGACCTCGGAGATGCTCTCATCTCTCTTGGGCCGACTATAACACCACGTTCAAACTCACTTAAATCGTGATAACCTGCCATTGTAGCAGCAATAACGGTTCTAACTGTGCCAGACTCTGGTTGTCTTATGTAGTCGTTGCCGACCGGAGCGCCGTATTCTGATTGGTTCCAGATCTCTTTATTTCCACACGTATGGCTGTACCGTTTTGTTTGTTGTTTTTTTTCGGGGGGGGGAAGCTCTTTAGTGTATATTGCAACCATTAGTGTACCTAAGGAGGAGGACGGCTCATATGGCTTCATCGCCCCCTCCCCAATGGCATTGATACACATTAAAAAAATATAGCTTTTACTAATTTTCTATTCTAACAAAAATCATTCATTATATCAATTGTTTACATTATAAATATTAACTATAATTCAACATACAAAAGTACATTTTATATGTACATACCTCAAAAATTCTTTATAAGGAAACATCAAGTTGGCCAGACACAACACACGTAGTCCCCGTCCCTGAGAAAAAAGTGTGCCTCTGATTGTAACACCTATTGTACTATTACTTCAGCAATCGCTTGAAAAATTTCTAACCAAATGAAGTAAGAAATGTAATGAATTTTTTCGTATCTTCATTTTTTTTACTAATTTAAAAGTTCTCTCAGTGACATGTCAACACCATATTATTCTTCAATATTAAAGCAGTGTTTTATATCAATAGAATTGGAAAGTTATTTAATACAAAATAAAATTGGTATATATCTGCGAATTAACCTAAGAAGTTAATCAAGTCATAAAATGTTTTCTGCTTTTGAGTGGAATGATGCATAGTAGGAAGGTGTAAGGATTCAAAAAAATGCTAAAAGTGAGGGATCTTCCTTATTACTATTTCATTTGAAATTACATAAACAAAATAAACAAATATGAAAACAAATTGCCTGATAAATAGAGGGAGTACAATCGCATACATCTTCTTGAGTGCAGCAAGTGAAGTTACATTTATTTTTATTGTCCAGAAGCAAAACAAGGGACCATCTCAGTATTTGCTCAAAGGACCTGGGAAACTGGACAAAAAACCTGATCAAGATGGGGTCATTGGCCTAGAGATTATACTACAATACTTGTTACAGATATATTACGATATTACACAGTAGATAATTATTTTTAGTAGCAAATAGTTGAACATTATAACTTACTCTAATTTAATTTAAAATACTTTAACATTTCAAGATTTGTAGGTTTCATTTTTCAAAATAACATTTTCTTGGTATAGTGATTTTACTGCTACTACTATAATAATAAAATAACAGAAAAAATTACTTATAAAATAATAATAATGATAATAATAATGATAATGATAATAATAATAATAATTATTATTATTATTATTATTATTATTATTATTATTACTATTATTACTATTATTATTATTAATAATAGTACATGATAACAATTATGGTAACAGCTACATATGATTTAACAGTATTAGCATATTTTTTGATTAAATCTTGAAATGGTGAGGAGAAGGAGGCAGGTTATGGCCAGTTTTTTTCCTATTTCTACACCTAGTTTTACTACAGCACCTGAAATCACATTACACATATTAGCCATTGAGGTATTCCTGAACACTAGAAAAAAGTTTTTCCCCGAGGAAGTGTTTGAGTTTTTTCTTGACGTTGTACACATTGGTTTCTCAGATGTATTGGTAACTTGTTGAAGATTTGTATATGAGAGAATGTACTATTTTGGTATAATGTGCTTGTAAATATTGGTTGATGAAGGTTACATGCTTGCCTTGTGTTATAGGGGTGTAAGCTTCAGTTAAATTTGTAAAGTGTGTCATTGTTTACTAGATTTTTCTTTACAAACATGATAACTTCATAAATAAAAATACAAGGCAGTGGAAGTATGTAAAGTTTTTTTAAAATGAGGTCTGTAGGACTCTCCTCTCTCTCTTTCCAAAATTCTACCTCCTGCTCCGCCCCCACTCAACTCTACTCCCGCAACGACTTTATAATATTAGCAAAGAAATTAATATTCATATTAAGTTATAGCAGTGGTTCTCAAACTGCCATGTTTCCGTTTCGTAAAGATGTTGCTTCATCAAAATGGAGGCATCTATTGGAATAATTTTAGATATTTCTACAGCATTTCACGTCATTCGTCTTGAACATTTCCCCTTCTTACCTTCATACGGAATGCATGTAATCGCCCTACACTGGATATATTCGTACCTCGATTTCAAGGACTAGGCCTACATTCCGTATCGGCATGAAATAACATTATTTTATTACTCTTTCCGCTTCATAACCACGAGAGCAGGGTTGAGAACGGATTCTCAGCCCAATCCGACGTACTACGCTCCGTCACTTTCTTTCATCATGCTCTTTCCCTCACACGCTCCACTCCACCCGATCTCACGACCACTTCTCCCCAACGTCCAACTCACCCAATAACTTCTACCTCGCCCGGTCGCAATCCCTCATGCCCAAATGCATCGCTAAAACACCCCTATTTTGCGAGGAAAATATCGAATAACTCATCCATTCTGAGGATGAATTTTGAAAGTATGTCTGTGTGGTAGCAAACATCGTAATAAGAGAAAAATATATTCCTAATTTCACACTTCCTGGCTTATCTGTTATCATCTCTCATCTTTTTCTTTTGTGGGTAGGTGAAAAATCTGCTCACGGGTCGTCCATGAATTACGTAACGCTAAAAAGGAGGGAGGAGTTTGAGACAACGTTACGCTGTGTTACGTAAGAGTAGAGGGGGCTCATAGTTTAGTGTTACATAATGTTGATACTTATTTTTAAAATCTTTCAACGTCTGCTGAAATAATTCTTTTTATTTTGTCTTAAACTAATACATTCACATATTAATAAATTAAATTAAAAATGTAATGAATTAAAAACGTTATGATATACAAATTAATGAAATAAATGGAAATATTTTTTCAGCAGTGATATAGATTGAATATATTACATTACGAAGAAATTTTCAAAGCTGATCAATAGTATATTCCAGAATCCAATTAACTTGGCGCAATAGACTCGGAGCCTGTCATCCACAACGGCGTGTGCACGATTTATCAGAAATATTTTCGCCTACGCGTCCTTATTTCATTCAAAAAATTGTTCCCAATCTCATTGTTACGTGCAGTCCGCACCGCGAACTCGCTGTAATTATCATGAACTTTAATATATAACAGAAATACAACTGTTTTTTCTGCTTTATAATTGATATTTATTTATTGTAACGGGGAGGGAGTGTCTTGTCGCAAGCATTACGTAATTATTAGAGGGGGTTCAAGCGTGCGTTACATGAGGCGAGAGGTGGTATTCAAAATACGCCAAATTTGCGTTACGTTATTAATGGACGGCCCCTCACAAATACCTTGAAGCCGATCTTCGAGGTTATGTGTGGATGCAGTTGTCTGCGGCCCACTAAAACAGTGTTATTCAAACTGTGAGGTGCACCTCCCCAAGGAGGCGGGAAAGTTTCAGAGGGGAGGAGCGAGAACGTCGAAATAATTGAATCAATTAATGCTCTAATGTGCAATAATGCTCTAATTATTTCTAAATTTCAAAAGAAGAGGAAAACAACTTATTGATCTTTCATCAGACAACACACTAAAAGACAGAGTATCAAACTACAACATTGTGCGAATTTTGGTGCTCCGTAAGGAATAGGTATCCACAGTTAATAAAGAAAGCCTTGTGTGTTCTGTGTCCTTTTGCCAATTCTAACATATCTGAAACCAGATTTTCAGCCATGGCGGGGATCAAGAATAAATATCCAGAATAAGATGCGTATTGCTATTTCTAAATATGTGCCGCGAGTAAATGAACTGTTTAACACCAAACAAGCCCATCCGTCTCACTGACTCTTTTGAACTATAAATATGTTAGTTTTTTTATAGTTTTCCTAGCAGTTTTCTACACTTTTTCAAACATTAATTAAATTCAGTAATTGCAACAGTAAATACTTCAAATCACTTTTCAATTATTATTTTCAATAATTATTTTGTACACTGTAAGTATATAACAAACAGTTATTTACTTATATAATACTGATCGTCTTACCTACAGGGGGGAAAATTTAGTTGTTATTAAAAATTTAATTTGAATGAGGGAAGGCGTGTGGAAAAATGTTTATCTGAAGGGAATCAAGGCAGCAAAATGTTTGAAAACCACTGCATAAAACGTACTACCTCCCGTGCCTGTCCCCACTCTAGCCGGAGAGGAACTGTTTTCACATAATTTCACCCTGGCTAGGCTTATTTGCATCTCTGTGTCGCAGGTCATTTTCACTCATTCTTCTTCTTACGAACAATGGTACTCTATATGTATGTCCCGCTTTCTTCCAATTGTAGCATTAAGGTCGTCATATTCTCTGGAACCAGGACTGTGTGAATTTTTGGCCGTCAATTCTTGTCGTTCTGGTTTCCACTCTTCACAAGTGAAGAAAGTGTGTTCAACGTCGTCTGTGTCGTCGCAATTGTTACACTCTGCTCCTTGCTTGATGCCAAACATTTGTAGATATTGGCTGAAGCTACCGTGGCCTGTCAGGGAGTACTCGACATCATCGTGCTTCTTTTTTGTCCACGTCAAGTCTGGGGGAGGCGGTGTGTCCATCTCCCTCTAGCTCGTTGTCCCTTCTCTTTTGCCACCCTTTAAATAATCTCTCCGTTGCTTTCTGTTTAATTTTGACGTGCTTTCCCTTCGAGCTGTGCATTTCTTGTCTTTCTCTGGCGAGTAGATCCATTGGTGCGATGCTAGCGATCACGAACTCAGTACTTTCTGAGACTGTCCCGTAAGTGAGTGATATTCTCATAGTACATGTTTTATGTACTGCAGAGACCTTTTTCCTCACTGATTTTGTTTTCAAAGCCTTCGCCACACTAGTGCTTCGTACACCAGTTGAGATAGGGGACACTAGCGAGGCATCTCTTCTTTTCCTTCGGTCCTCTTACGTTTGACATCATTCGTGAAAGTTTGCCCACAGTTGCTTTCGCCTCTTCGGTTTTGTTTTTTAGATGGGTTTTGCCTGCTAGTTAGTCTAGTTCCGCTCCTAGCTTTTCGATATTATTTTTCCATTGGATGGCTTGACCGGGCGGGTGTATTTTCTTCTGTCGATAATGAGGCTACTGTGGTTTGTAAGGCGATAAGGGCATCGCACGGGCGATATTTGCGTCGTCGTAGTATATCTTCCTATTCTTAATGTAGTTTGCGATCATCCTCACCAGGTAGGTCCGAGTTAATGTCATTTCTGACGTCGACTACTACCAGCGCGCAGAATCTGTTGCTTTTTTAGTTTGCCCCATCAGGTACTCCAAGGACAGCAGGCTAGCTTTCTGTGAGGCGGTCCCGCGTTCGATTCTCGGACGGAACAAAAATGAAGCTGTTGCTTTCTAATACAAATCGTTTCAGTTTTTATAGCTCTAACGAAAGAAAGCTCAGAGAGACCAAATAAGCTAAGAACGGTTATGGGAATATGCCATGCTCGCCACATGTCTCCCCCTTACCCCCAGGAGTGGATACTTGAATAAAAACAGGGCCCAAAAAGTGTCAAAAAATTGACGAAATGACGTTTTGTGACTGAACACTAGCGCAGAGTGCAGGCAAAGTGAATCTGCATATCTGCATGTGAGTTGGCAATTCACGTCCAACATAGATGACGAGACTTAGGCGGGCAGCGATGAAACGAATGACCCGTACAGATGTGGGCATAGAGCCAGTTGACAAGCTACAATATTCGAAATAAACATCTTGTAGAAACAAGAGTTGAAACAAAAGAATAGAGGGATTTCAAGGGAGGTCATCTCGAGTGATTTCGCTTCTATTAAAAGCGTGCGAAGTTTAAAACTTGGTGAAACTCAATAGCCTCATACCCATCAACTAAAAAAGTAATACACTTTCATTTATCTGAGGACACTATGTAATAAATTTATGGGTGTACCTTGGTTTCAAAATTTTCAGAAGTGATTCTGTACCACAAGGATGTAGAAAGTAAAATGGTCGGCGAAGGAGTGGATGTTCCTGAAACAAATATAGAATATATTTTCAATGTAGGATTGTTGTAATGGCAAATTTTTTTCATGTGTTAATAAAAATCAACATCGACTAAAGAGAGCTAAAATTATATTTCTACTTCATTTGTCAGTATTTTAAGACTATAGCAAACTATCAAAGGAAATTAGAAGCCATAAGCATGATCACAATTCATAATACTCATTGGATTCTTAAGCTTTTTTCAAATTTTTAATGCATTACCATTTGTAATAGATTTCTGAGATGAAATAAAATGAAAATTATTTTCTAATTATAAAATGACTATTGTAATGTAACATTTTTAATTAAACTTTTTTTAAAAATCATTTGCAGTTTCAATTGAATAAAAAGATAAATGGGTAAAAATTAGAAATTCTGAAGATGCAACATAATTGCTGGGGATGGAAATGTTTTAGGAATGAGTAAAAGAAAAGGGGTTGGTATGGTGAAGAAAAAGAAATGTAAGAGGATGAATAACTAATTAATATTTTCAAAACAAACCTATACAGTAATGTGTAGGTTTTTTCAGTTTCTTTCTGATGTATTTATTTCTCAGTCTCTTTTTGTGATTCCTATGAAGTGTCTCAGAAATCTCATATGTGCCACCAATAGTTTTTGCTTGTCTGACTTTTTCATTACCCATGTTTCTGAGCCATACATGATTCTAGGTTTAGCAGCTATATTGGGGAGTTTGTTATGTTTCCGAATCCATGCCTCTTCATTGTTTCACATAATATATTGTAGTAATTAAGTTTTTTTTCTGTCTTCCTCTGTTGGGTTGTATACACTTGATATTTCTGAGGTATGAAAATCTTTTAATTGTTCCACTAATTTTCCATTTATTATTATTTTGGCTCCCCTTTGTTCCTTGCCTTGTATTCCCATAACTTTTGTTTTGTGAACTGCTATCTTCATGGAATATTCTTGGGCCACTTACGTCAATTCAAGAACCACTCTTTGTAAATTATCCTCAAAATCCATTATAATAGTTTGATCATCAGCAGAGCTCGGATTCTCATGACCTAAAAAGTTTTTGAAAATGATCTATAAAAAGACTTAAAACTAAGGTGAAAATGACCTAGAAACTTTACATTAAGGGGAAAATGACCCCCCCTTTTTTTTTTTTACCCAAAAATTTGTATGAAAATGTTTACTTATGAATGAATTTTACAATTTTATATTAATTATCTTTAATATAAAGTCTTCACTTTAGAAGGAAATGTAATTCTTAGCTCCGATCTTCCAACCGTTGGTTTTGAAAGATCAAGGAAGTTACTAAAGATCCATATAATTATCAGATTTCGAGAAACAGAGTCCATTGCAGTACTGAATTTCAATATGAACAGGTGATATAATAAAAAAATTTTTTAGTGAGTCATTGTAAATTCATGAAACATTCATTATCAAAAAAACATGAAAAGGAAAAAATGCGTTAAAAGGATGCAAAGGTCCAAAAAATTACCTACAAAATTTAAAATGGCAAAAAATGACAAAAATTACCCAACAACTATACATTTGTCACCTATATGTCATTATCAACATTCATATACAAGTTAGCTACAATGCACTAATGAAAATATGACATATCATCAGAATCTGAGACCTGGTCATCAGCATACAAGACTGTTTCTACCTTCTTGTGTTTTGTAATCTCTATTCCTTGGCTAACTCTCTTTCTCCAGTTTTTCACTAAGTGTTTAATATATATGTTAAATAGGATGCAAGATAAAATTTTAAAACATTTGGATTTTTCTATCTCAATTCAATTGTACTTGCCTGCTGAGTAAGGATTGACCATTTATCTTGACGTAATCTTCCTTGGAATTTAGTGTCAACAATTCTCCAGAGCTCCTGTAAAGGCACCATTTTCCCATCTGTGAAAAATCATAAGAACACATACAAAAAAGCAAGGAAAGGAACGGTTCTACTTATTTAATAAATTTGAAGAATTAATATTAGGGTTATATTCTGAAGTGTCATTAAAATGCAACAGACAACTCACCACTATCCCAAACTTGGAAAAATAAAACAGGAACACAATAGCTAACACTATACAGCACATGGAATTCCCAAAACATGGTTTTTTCTTCATTTTCTGGAACATTAAGTGCAGCAGGATCCTAAAATGAAGAAAAATAATTTGCTTAATATCATTCCTCAGATACAAGAACACTGTATATCAATACATGTATGGAGCATACCATAAAGATTATTATTTACTGTAATTTGGAAAATTAACATTTCTCTCAACAAGAAAGAATTTCGATGTCTGCTAGTTAAAAGATGTACTTAATCAAATATTTCAAATAATTTAGTTGTGATATTTGATCATCACTTACAGATTACAGGCCTACATCTCTATGAGAAACTCAGTTATTTATTTTCTTATTCCAATAAGTAAGCAAAATATATATATATCAAACAAAAACATAATAAATTTGAAGTTTAAACAACATCAATGTATATGATGGGCATTTTCTCAACATCACAGAGAACAAGTGTAAATTGTTTATTCATTGTAGAATGTCAGTTAAGAGGAAATATTACAATAAAAGAAAGTATAACTGGAATCTTTGAAGTTAAGGTTTTCTTCAATACATCTCATTTTTTTAATACAAGCAGTGTTATGAAATAAAAATTAGATCAGTTCTAGATTTAATTTCCAAAACCATTATAAATACAACTGTTGCAATTTGATTCTTCTCAGTAGAACATCATACCTGTAAATAATAGGATAGGGACGGAATACAAATTGTGTGTTATATGTGAAATGTTTAACTTTCTTCACATTTTCCATAAACAAGGGTTGTTATTGGTTGCAATTCTATAAATCACCAAAGATTGTCAATGGAACATGAAGAGAATCAGTGTTGGGGAGTAATTGAGTAAAAGTAATTCAGTTACTTACAATGTATACTTTATTAGTAATTTTAGCATGTAATTGTTACTTTTAACAGAATGTAACTTACTCCTTGATATAAAATTATAATAGTTACTTTGTAGTAATCATTACATTGCATGTAATCATGATTTATTTTTTAATATGCCTATTTAGTTCTTTTTGCTCACAAACTACCTTGCTCGTTACAAACAAAATGAATGGGTAAAATCATTTAGTTCAAAACCAAGGCTGAACACGAGACCCAATCCACGATATAGGAGAATTTTCATGCCACCATCTACTTTAGTCCAGAGCGCTGAATGAAGATTTCTTCATTTGTACTATTTCATTCATGAACAACACATCTCTACCTATACTTATAACTATACTGCCACTTTAAAATTTTATTTTAAGTACTTGACCCAGCCTGTCAAAGGAAAATGTTATAGGCTGGTCATAAAATTGTTGAATTTAGTTTTTAATATAAAATTTGTCAAACATTTTTATTCTAATTTGTCACAATTGATTTCCAGATTAAAGTGCATTCCATATTACATTTTCTTTTACCAAACATGCAAAGTTAAGAACAAGAGTTTGAAAAAGTATTGATAAATTTGTAATGTTAGAAGCTATATAAGATTTACTTTAAGCCTTACTTACTTTTAGAACATTATCTTTGAGAAAAATTTTATTATACAACGTAAATCATATTTTAAAATAAAGAATACAACCTCTCAAGACATTCTTGGCTCAGTGTATTAGAAAAATAATATTTTCCACCTTTTAATTTGGTAGTTGGTCATGGCATAGTAAAGTATATCAATAGAAAATATTTTAATTCCTTGCAAATATATGAAAAGTTTGTAATGAAAAACCTTTTTTTTTAATTACTGTAAACCAGAGCCACTTTTCCAGTTTTTAAAAATTATATCATTTGTCACCCTGACGTGCCTCTGACCTAACAAATAAAGATGGAAATGACTTCATTGTACAGACAAGACATTTAAGAACGAGCATGTTGTGCATTTTCAACCTTATCACTTTTTTCAATTCTTTATTTCAGACTTTTCTTATCAACTTGTAAAATAAGTGTCTTTAATAGTCAGCAAAAATGTCTTGCCCTGCTGAAACATAAACAAAATCTACTTTTTTTAAAATTAATGCAGCATATATTTTCCTTGCAGATTCACTATTTGACCTTAATTTAATGATTCAATTAGATATAATATTGTAACAAGGCATTGTTCCACCAGGAAACTTGGAGAAAATGTGGCAACATAACCAACCTAGAATTTCATTATTTTTCTCAAATTTCTATGCTTTTTCAAACTGTTTTTAATTCTTCTTTGAACATGGTAGTTTTTTTATTGTGATTTAACATACATAAAAACATATTTTTCATAATTTTAATTATATAATATAACTTTAAATTAAATGTTAAATATTACCATAAATCTATAAAAATATTCACGTATTTGATATTAAATATTCTTATAATGACAGAAACATTTGTCATAAAAATCTATAGGAAGGATTACAAGCAAATTTAAACAACTAAAAATATTTTTTATAATATATTTTTAATAATAATGATCTCTAATATTCATAAATATGTAGTGTCTTCATAATTCATTTAATAAATTTTATATCAAAAAAGTACCATAATAATAAATATTTAATTACAATAAAAAATTAAATTGGAATTTTTAAAATTCAATATAATTTTTTTAAATAAAATTTAAAATAGAAAATATTTTTTTTAAATTACGCTTTTCTTTGTCCTATTTATTCCTAAGGTTTCAGTTATTTTTATAGTATAAAATATCCTTTGTGAGTGGGTTTGAGTGGTTTCTACTTGATTTGAACATTGTTGGCCAAGTTGTTGTTGTTGTTTTTGTTTTTTAGCCTAGGAAATTGTACTTAAGTTGTCATTTTGCCACAAATTGTGATCAATCAAGGCTAATTTTTTTAGACAGTTTTGAAACAATTTTGTATAATATAAATTAACAAAACAGTTAAAAGAAGAAAAAAGTGGCAAAGTTGTACTGGTTTACTGCATTGATACTCTGATGGAGTAAAGTTCCATGTGAAGAATATTAACCATAATTTCAAAAATGATTCCAAAAATATTATCCATTATTTTAAAATATACATAATGAATTATCTACAATTTTCTTGTATTTTAATATTTAACTTTTATTAGTTCATGATTTCATTTTGTTGGAACCTTGAGATATTTGTCTTTCTGTTTATAATGTTAGTAGTACCAGTAGTAATTAGGTCTCTGAAATGTCAGTTAACTTTTCAAATAACTTCTCATTTTGATTCACAGTGATTTGACAGTATACATTTTTCAAGTTAAAAGTTCAATACAGAAAATACAGAATCTTTGAATCTTCACACATCATTCTGAATGCCACAATAACAATAATCAGTGTAGGGGAACGCCGAAAGAAACTTAAACAACACAAAGATGCTTTCTAACTAATCCAACTAATGTAATTGTAATAAGTAAGATTCAGATTTCATTGAGAATTTATGTAATCATTCCTTCAAAACACATTAATATATAGCAGTCAATGGAATAAAACAAGAAGAAATTGGTAGACAAAGTCACAATCTGAATAACTTTTTATTCTCTATTAAAAAGAATTCCACAAGTTGCAAAAGGGAAAAAATAGTAACAATGAAGTATGCAGTTCAATGTATTATTAGTAGTAAAATGCATATTTAGTTCAGCATAATCCTGATATATGCAATTGTGTATATATATATATATATAAAATCAAAACTCAAAATTCAAAAATAAAAAATTAAAAATAAAACTTCGAAATATGCATCTAGGGAGGGACTTCGCATAGTAACCAGAACTCCAGACTTCATTGACTACATGGAAAAAATATGTAATTGCAAAAAAATCAAAGCTCTGGTAATAATATTATCGAAACACATTTGTTCAAACCCTTTATTTGCATTGTAGAAATTGATTATGAAGTAAACAGGATGCCTACTGGCCTCCTGAAATTGTTTACCCTAGGTTTTTGCAGTACTTTCCCTGCAGTTTCTCCTTATTCCTCTGCTCTAATGCGTCTACATTGCCAAGGAAGATTGTAAAATGTGCCTCAAAGAAGTGAAGTAAAATACATCCAATACATACAGTATTACATAAATAACCCAGAATAAGAATTTTTCAACTTGTTGCAACTTGAAATCCTCCCAAGATCTTCTAAACAACCAAACAATGTTTATTTCCAGTCAAGAAAAGTTTTATTTAAAAATGATTTGCAGATTAATAACACATTTTGTACAAAACAACTTGGTTAAATTTATTTTTTAATTCCAAATTTTAAAATATATTATCTTCAGAAAAGTATTTTGTTTTAATGTAAATGTATTTTGTAGGATTTGTGCAAAAATTTCCATTAGTAGAACTTTTAGTTAAAATGTTTAAGATTTAGTGAAATTTTTTTAAAGATTAGTGATGGCAAGAATCATAAAGATAACTGATTATTAATCAAATCATTTATTATTAGCAAAGAAGGGATGGTATTTAATGAAAACAATATTTTGAAATATCCTTTTCTTTTCTAACTCTACCAATATTAGAATTAAAAATGTGAACATTGAAAGTGACGGGTCTATTGACAATGCAAGAGAGTCACTACAGTCAAGAGCATTTAAGCACATCCAGAATAGTTGGTAGTACAGTAGTACTAGAAATGTCCCACATTGAGCCCTCCAAAAATACAATACAATTTCAAATTGTAATTTTAAAAGTTTTCTTATTAATGTGCGATCCCACGCCTGAACTTGGCCGCCATTACTTAATTGCTGAGTGCTTTTCGTGTTGCACACAAATGCTTACAAAAATTTGACTTTTGAAGGACAAAAAATGGAACATATCGCAGGACATTTTTATGGAATATAATGGGCACCACCAAAAAAATCCCTTAAAACATAAAATAACATTTACTCTTAGTCTCTAAAAAGTATTATCTCAAAAAAGCTATAAAAACAGGAAGTTTATGGAGTTTGTGGGACCTGCAAACTCGTAATAAATATCTTTTCGTCGGTGAAGATGTTTTTACATTAAAAACTAACATTTTTAATTTCTCGCCTACTATCTACATAGTACGTAGTAAAGAGAAAGTAGGTATTGTAATGCTCCAGCGGAAAGTGGCGATTTTTCGTCAGAAAAAATCGTATGGTGTGTAAATTCGTATTAAAAAGTGGATAAAC